GACTTATAAACTGCCCTCAACATGGAATGCGGCCTCCCCTTTACTTATTACTCTGAGTATGTGCCCTTGCGCCATCTTGTTGAAAGTAAAAGTTTGTAATTTCGTTTTCTTCCAGCTGGTTAACAAAAGGAGCGATACCTTTGCGCAGTAAGAGTACCATTAAAAAAAATAGGTCCATAAATCCTCCTTCGATTGAGAGCACACCGCGCGCCACGCGCCATTATTCCATGGCTAGAAATTGGTCTCAATGATTTGGGATCGAGGGGGATTATCCCTCTTTATCCTGCCTCATCTCGTGTAGGCCTGGACAGCCTTCGTAGGTGGGCCCCATCCGTCGTCTACCCCGACCGCAAATGCGGCCGGTGTAGGCGCTTTGTGGGACCTCCTTTTGTCCTGGCTGGGCCCCGCCGGCTAGGGCCCTTTCTTCTGGCGCTCTTCTTGCTTCGCCGGCTCGTCTGTGTAAACCCCGGGGGTAGTGTCATGTTTATGTGTGGTATGGTTGGGTAGGGTAGTGCGGCTATGCAGCCTGGGATGCGCTTTGCTAAGGTGGCCCTTAGGCTAGCGCGNTATATTTTTCATCAATCTTTTATAGTTTAAAATTATTTAAATAGATTATATTTGATATTTCTTTTATTTCCACTTTATTGAAATTTTCAAATTTCACTTTACCCTCTATCACATTTTTAAGTGATAAGAAATTTTTAAAGTATTACGACAAAATTATATCTGCGCCATGTTAAGGATTCAAGGAATATATTTACCTAATACAACTGACGTCACTTGATAATAAATAACATAAATCTTCAATTAATTTGACATCTTTGTTAGAAGTAATAATGACATATGGTACTAAGTAATATTCTATCGTAAACCAAAATCAGTTCCTAGCAAAATCTACTGCCTTAGCATCTAAAAATATAAACACTAATATTCTTCAATACGATACAAATTTATCTGTCCATTTGTCAACCCTTTCCACATTAACCTGTTTTCGTGATTTTCTTATTTAAAAGTATTAGCATTTGACATTTTTTGTAACTTAAAACCGGTCACATATCGTGCTGCCTTGTGCTGTCAAGCTAGCGAGCGGTGCATGTATTTTTGTGATGACCCATACACCAAAGCAAAGCGATGTAAATTCTACAAGATGATATATCTGAGACTTTATTAGATACTACTGTCTCTGATCAATTCAAGCTGTATGTTCCTTTTTGCGTGAAGCAACTACTAATAGTGTTGGGTCAGTTGTTATAAACCAACTTCGAAGGTTGCCTATGTTTCAGATCCAACACCAGAAAAATAAACATCTCCAAAATTACTAACAGAGCAGCCTGTCGCCATAAGCACCCAGATAGCGTCGGTTGAGAATTTTTCACCTATGTTTCGAATCCATATGCCGAAACTGTCCGCAATTCACTTCTAATAAACCCGGTCAGAGCAAATTTTTAGAGAGCCCGATGCTGTTAGCAGAGCGACCGCCGAAGATCGTCGCGAGGCTTCCAAAATAGCGCTTCAGTTTCGAATTTTTCCGAGAAACTTTAGGAATGCCACGAAATTTGACCTGGGATACGAAACCAAGCTACTTTACATAAATCTAAGTCTTCAAACATATCTCATGACAAGTTGAGACGACTCCAAAGATTACCTAACTCCAATGAGACTAGACATCAGAACCCGCACCGAAGATCCACTACGGGTTCATGGAGCTATCACATAGAATGTTTGAATGTCGACTCCGGTTTTCCAGTAAACACGAAATGTGGTGCGGAACCGGAAGATTACGCAGGAACCCAATTCCTCTGGGTCGATGTTTATGAAACGGACCCGAGGACATAAGATATAAAACTCAAAAATTTCGTGAAAATATTTGAAAGAATACCAAAAAAGTGCAATATGATCATGCTGTGCTTTTTGTAGTAGTTTTTCCTAGTAAGGCACAGGCCCGGATCCAGAGGGGGTGGCGATGTGGCGATCGCCACCCCCAAAGCACAACATTTTTTAAAGATCTTCAATTTCTCCAAACGACAACAGGCAGTTAGTCGATATTAATGCAAGTCCCCCTTCCTAACCTACACCTTACGTCATCAAAAAAATAACAACAACAACAATAATAATAATAATAATAATGATAAAGAAGTGCTTTGCGCCACCCCCAAAACCAGTCTCTGGATCCGGGCCCGAGGGAAACACCAACAATTTTATTAGTTATGTTGAATTAAATTCTGCGTCTATTAGATAATCGCGATTACTTTGGCGTCCTTTAATTTGCTACTATAATTTTTAAGGAGGCTCTGACGCCAAATTTCAAGAAAACATCATTTTCAAGATAAGTTCGGATTTAATGTGTTTGTCTTGATTATGGATGACCAAGTCGATTTGAAATTTATGAAGAAAATTTGAATTCCCAGATATACATATATTCATATGTACTATTAAGAGGGGCGGTTTCGACATTTCTTGATGAATTACCGTTACAAATATCGAGGCAGAGTTAGTATCAACTGGATGGAGCGGTGATACACACGTCTAGACAAGTGTTCCAACGATTAGATAATATACAGGGTGTTTCAGGATTAAGTCGACAAACTTTAAGAAGACATTCCTCATAAAAAAAATAAGAAAAAAATCGAGTATAAATTTTTTTCCAGAGACGCTTCATTTTCGAATTATAGATTAAAAGATTTTTTTTAAAATTCGAATTTTCTAAATAACTTCTAAATGAAGGCTATTTAAGCCAAATTTGGCATGACACATCTTTTTATAAGATACCATTTTTCCATAGGAGTACAAGTCCCGCAAGCAACCAGTGGCCTCAAACTCATTAAATTATAAAAGAAAATAATACGGCCCTACTGAAAATAAAAAATGATGCTGTTTTTAGATAGAACATTTTGTTATTGACAAAAAGTGTACATTCACTTTTTTCCTAACTCTTTATAGTATCATGGCAAAATTGATTTTTCGGAAGAGTGCTTCTGGATTCTGTCGATAAATGTTCCTCATAAAACTTAAAAAAATATAGTACCTATTAAAATTGGTCTTAGTCTCGAGTACCTATGTGAGTCAAATAAGCCTTTTTGTCTCCCCTTCCCTTGGGTTTAACCAATAGTTTTAAAATTATTTAAGCTAAAATATAGGGTGTTTTTTTTAGAAAAAAAAAATATGTTGATGAAAGCAACAGAAATATTTAAGTGTCTAATGTGACTATGTCGAAATGCGGCAACGTAACGAGCCTTGCAATACTCCTAAATTTTTTCAGGCGGTTTGTAGTCACTTCATTTACTAGTGTTGTTCACTTTTTAATAAAATAAGATGGCAAACAATACATGAAAATTTATTTATAAATTGAAACAACCAAAAAATTACCAATTAATATTATACCTAGACAAAGCGAAAAGTGAAT